AGGTTTTCATTAAGGATAGCTCTGTACTTTGCTCCGTTCATCTTTCCCTCGATCCTGACTAGTCTCCCAGTCCCTGCCGTTGAAAAACATCCCCACTACCATGTTTCACCGTAGGGATGGTGCCAGGTTTCCTTCAGACGTGACACTTGGCATTCAGGCCAAAGAGTTCAATCTTGGTTTCATCAGACCAGAGAATCTTGTTTCTCATGGTCTGAGAGTCCTTTAAGTGCCTTTTGGCAAACTCCAAGCGGGCTATCATGTGCCTTTTACTGAGGAGTGGCTTCAGTCTGGCCACTCTACCATAAAGGCCTGATTGGTGGAGTGCTGCAGAGATGGTTGTCCTTCTGGAAGGTTCTCCCATCTCCACAGATGAGCTCTTTCAGAGTGACCATCAGGTTCTTGGTTACCTCCCCGACCAAGGCCCTTCTCCCCTGATTGCTCAGTTTGGCCGGGCGGCCACGTCTAGGAAGAGTCTTGGTTCCACTGTGTTCTTGGGGACCTTCAATGCTGCAGAAATGTTTTGGCACCCTTCCCCAGATCTGTGCCTCGACACAATCCTGTCTCAGAGCTCTAGGGACATTTCCTTCGACCTCATGGCTTGGTTTTTGCCCTGACATGCACTGTCAACTGTGGGACCTTATATCGACAGATGTGTGCCTTACCAAATAATTTCCAATCAATTGGATTTACCACAGGTGGACTCCAATCATGTTGCAGAAACTTCTCAAGGATGATCAATGGAAACAGGATGCACCTGAGCTCAATTTCGAGTCTCATAGCAAAGGGTCTGAATTCTTATGTAAATAAGGTATTTCTGTTTTTATTTTTAATACATATGCAAAAATTGGATCACCTGTTTTCGCTTTGTCATGATGGGGTATTGGGTGTAGATTTGAGAATAAGGCAGTAACGTAACAAAATGTGGGGAAAGGGTCTGAATACTTTCCGAATGCACTGTATGATACTGTCAACTTGTAAAACTGACCAAGTATGTACTGTAAAGGTGTAGTGGAGAGGCCATTAAGAGTGAGAGGAGTGTCCATTATGCGCCGACAGATTCCTAATGTAGCTTGTGTAGCTCTGAAATGTGGTCTTGATGGCTCAGTTGGTTGAGAAATACTGGGAACACCAAACTGCTGTGTGACTGGCATCCATAATAGAATGATCATAGAAACACAAAGCTATGTGAATCTGAGTATGATCCTATTAAAAAAATGATTTCCCTTGAATTTCTAGCACGACCTCTAAGAGCCATGTGATACAAAGCCACGCTGATCAGCACAGCCAATTGAATAAAGCCCCATCTAATACATTTGCAAAAATGTAAAAAAAAAAAAAAAACTGTTTTCACTTTGTCATTATGGGGTATTGTGTGGCTGTTGATGAACATAAAAAAAAGGGGAAGGGGTCTAAATACTTTATGAATGCACTGTATGTTGCAGTTTCAGCAACATGGACAGCGCGATAAACTGTGCAGCAAGTCTGAGTACAGTCAAATCAATTGCTCCCTCTAGTAATTTGTGTGTGTTCTTTACTTCATCAAACAGTGCACTTTAAGCATCAGACAAGCTCAGTGCATATAGTTGATATGATTTAAAACACATAGGATGTGTCTATATGAAAAAATACACTTTTTAACATTTTGACTGTTCGAAAGAACAGACTACTCTTGGTCGACCAATATACACTGCTCAAAAAAATAAAGGGAACACTAAAATAACACATTCTAGATCTGAATGAATGAAATAATCTTATTAAATACTTTTTTCTTTACATAGTTGAATGTGCTGACAACAAAATCACATAAAATTATCAATGGAAATCAAATTTAGCAACCCATGGAGGTCTGGATTTGGAGTCACCCTCAAAATTAAAGTGGAAAACCACACTACAGGCTGATCCAACTTTGATGTAATGTCCTTAAAACAAGTCAAAATGAGGCTCAGTAGTGTGTGTGGCCTCCACGTGCCTGTATGACCTCCCTACAACGCCTGGGCATGCTCCTGATGAGGTGGCGGATGGTCTCCTGAGGGATCTCCTCCCAGACCTGGACTAAAGCATCCGCCAACTCCTGGACAGTCTGTGGTGCAACGTGGCGTTGGTGGATGGAGCGAGACATGATGTCCCAGATGTGCTCAATTGGATTCAGGTCTGGGGAACGGGCGGGCCAGTCCATAGCATCAATGCCTTCCTCTTGCAGGAACTGCTGGCACACTCCAGCCACATGAGGTCTAGCATCGTCTTGCATTAGGAGGAACCCAGGGCCAACCGCACCAGGTCTGAGGATCTCATCTCGGTACCTAATGGCAGTCAGGCTACCTCTGGCGAGCACATGGAGGGCAGTGCGGCCCCCCAAGGAAATGCCACCCCACACTATGACTGACCCACTGCCAAACCGGTCATGCTGGAGGATGTTGCAGGCAGCAGAACGTTCTCCACGGCGTCTCCAGACTCTGTCACGTCTGTCACATGTGCTCAGTGTGAACCTGCTTTCATCTGTGAAGAGCACAGGGCGCCAGGGGCGAATTTGCCAATCTTGGTGTTCTCTGGCAAATGCCAAACGTCCTGCACGGTGTTGGGCTGTAAGCACAACCCCCACCTGTGGACGTCAGGCCCTCATACCACCCTCATGGAGTCTGTTTCTGACCATTTGAGCAGACACATGCACATTTGTGGCCTGCTGGAGGTCATTTTGCAGGGCTCTGGCAGTGCTCCTCCTGCTCCTCCTTGCACAAAGGCGGAGGTAGCAGTCCTGCTGCTGGGTTGTTGCCCCTCCTACGGCCTCCTCCACGTCTCCTGATGTACTGGCCTGTCTCCTGGTAGCGCCTCCATGCTCTGGATACTACACTGACAGACACAGCAAACCTTCTTGCCACAGCTCGCATTGATGTGCCATCCTGGATGAGCTGCACTACCTGAGCCACTTGTGTGGGTTGTAGACTCCGTCTCATGCTACCACTAGAGTGAAAGCACCGCCAGCATTCAAAAGTGACCAAAACATCAGCCAGGAAGCATAGGAACTGAGAAGTGGTCTGTGGTCTCCACCTGCAAAACCAGTCCTTTATTGGGGGTGTCTTGCTAATTGCCTATAATTTCCACCTGTTGTCTATTCCATTTGCACAACAGAATGTGAAATGTATTGTCAATCAGTGTTGCTTCCTAAGTGGACAGTTTGATTTCACAGAAGTGTGATTGACTTGGAGTTACAGTGGGGGGAAAAAGTATTTAGTCAGCCACCAATTGTGCAAGTTCTCCCACTTAAAAAGATGAGAGAGGCCTGTAATTTTCATCATAGGTACACGTCAACTATGACAGACAAAATGAGAAAAACAATTCCAGAAAATCACATTGTAGGATTTTTAATGAATTTATGTGCAAATTATGGTGGAAAATAAGTATTTGGTCAATAACAAAAGTTTCTCAATACTTTGTTACATACCCTTTGTTGGCAATGACACAGGTCAAACGTTTTCTGTAAGTCTTCACAAGGTTTTCACACACTGTTGCTGGTATTTTGGCCCATTCCTCCATGCAGATCTCCTCTAGAGCAGTGATGTTTTGGGGCTGTCGCTGGGCAACACGGACTTTCAACTCCCTCCAAAGATTTTCTATGGGATTGTGATCTGGAGACTGGCTAGGCCACTCCAGGACCTTGAAATGCTTCTTACGAAGCCACTCCTTCGTTGCCCGGGCGGTGTGTTTGGGATCATTGTCATGCTGAAAGACCCAGCCACGTTTCATCTTCAATGCCCTTGCTGATGGAAGGAGGTTTTCACTCAAAATCTCACGATACATGGCCCCATTCATTCTTTCCTTTACACGGATCAGTCGTCCTGGTCCCTTTGCAGAAAAACAGCCCCAAAGCATGATGTTTCCACCCCCATGCTTCACAGTAGGTATGGTGTTCTTTGGATGGAACTCAGCATTCTTTGTCCTCCAAACACGACGAGTTGAGTTTTTACCAAAAAGTTATATTTTGGTTTAATCTGACCATATGACATTCTCCCAATCCTCTTCTGGATCATCCAAATGAACTCTAGCAAACTTCAGACGGGCCTGGACATGTACTGGCTTAAGCAGGGGGACACATCTGGCACTGCAGGATTTGATTCCCTGGTGGCGTAGTGTGTTACTGATGGTAGGCTTTGTTACTTTGGTCCCAGCTCTCTGCAGGTCATTCACTAGGTCCCCCCCGTTCTTGTGATCATTTTGACCCCACGGGGTGAGATCTTGCGTGGAGCCCCAGATCGAGGGAGATTATCAGTGGTCTTGTAGGTCTTCCATTCCCTAATAATTGCTCCCACAGTGGATTTCTTCAAACCAAGCTGCTTACCTATTGCAGATTCAGTCTTCCCAGCCTGGTGCAGGTCTACAATTTTATTTCTGGTGTCCTTTGACAGCTCTTTGGTCTTGGCCATAGTGGAGTTTGGAGTGTGACTGTTTGAGGTTGTGGACAGGTGTCTTTTATACTGATAACAAGTTCAAACAGATAACGAGTGGAGGACAGAGGAGCCTCTTAAAGAAGAAGTTACAGGTCTGTGAGAGCCAGAAATCTTGCTTGTTTGTAGGTGACCAAATACTTATTTTCCAGCATAATTTGCAAATAAATTCATAAAAAATCCTACAATGTGATTTTCTGGAAAAACAAATCTCAATTTGTCTGTCATAGTTGACGTGTACCTATGATGAAAATTACAGGCCCTCATCTTTTTAAGTGGGAGAACTTGCACAATTGGTGGCTGACTAAATACTATTTTCCCCCACTGTACATTGTGTTGTTTAAGTGTTCCCTTTATTTCTTTGAGCAGTGTATTTTCGGGGACAGCCTTAATATTTAGACATTTATATTGTCATATTTCATTACTTCTTATTACTACCTTCTAATTCGTATATGGCCAGATACTGGCTTAAAATGACAGATAAAAGTTGAAGTGTCTCTCGATGTTGGTGTATTGTATTTTCTCTGCGTCAATATTTACCCATGTTGCATTGTGTCCCAGGCAGCGGGAGGCAGTGGGAATTTCAGCTGGTCCTCCTCTAACCTAGCCGTTGCCACAGTGACAGTGAAAGGAGTGATGACGACAGTCAGTGACATCGGCGTCAGTGTGGTGTACGCCCATGATGTACGCAACCCAATGCACTATGGAATGATGAAGGTGAGACCATATATATATATATATATATATATATATATAATTTATTTTTTTTTTTTTTTTTTTTTTTTTTTTTTTTACAGATGACCTCATTACCTATCTTACGTCTTTATGAACTGATATTACAACTGTACTGGTTAGTCAATCTATAATGTTTGGAAGAATATTACGTAAATGAAAGAATTAAACAAGTCCATTGAAAAATCTAACAAGAACTCTTCCCATTGTCTCGACTTCAGCTGTTTCTTCTGACCTGTCTCACTGTCCTCCTAACCCCCACCCCCAGGTGTACGTTGTAGAGCCCGTGGGGATGGACTTCTCTCCCTGCCCGGTGGAGGCCCGCATTAGCCTGGTGCTGGAGCTGCCCCTCCGGATCTTTAGCCTGCTAGGGGAGGGGGGAAAGTGGGGAGTGGAGGAGCGGGTGATGCTGAGCGACTGCAGTCACTTTGACCTGCAGGTGGAGGAGGAGACCCAGGGAGTGTTCAAGCTGCTGGAGGGTGAGGCATGCCCCCATACACTGCTCATAGAAACCTGTAGGAAAAACCCTGACCATACTTTACCTAGCTGGGAGGCAGAGCCTTCACAAAGAGCCTCTGTAGTGTCTTTTATGTCCTTCTCAGATTGGCACTACGGTTTTAATTTCCCTTGATCCATGGAGGAGCATAATATCTACCACTTCAATCGCCTCATACATTTTATGATTAGCCTTGGACTTGAAGCATCTTATTGTTGTCTGTTGTGCGTCTGTGTTGGATAAGAGATGTATATGAAAGCAGGTAGACTTTGTTGTCCTCTAGGACCGGAATTGCAGCCGTATGTCTCTCTCTCTCTCTCTCACTCCCTACAGGTAGACTGGCTCCAGGGCAGGACCACTGCAGTGGTGTAAGGGCCCAGGCTCTAGCCCCAGGATACACAACCCTGACGGTCAGCTACACCCACGGCAACGTCCACCTCAGCGCCAAGATCACCATCGCTGCCTACCCACCACTCAGAGTGAGTCCATTCCCCCCTACCTGTACCGTAGGGCATGGCCTATTCACACACATTCATTTCATATTGGTTTACTTCAATCTCTTCCCTGGTCAAAAGCACAAAAAGAGACTTGAGCTTGAAGTAGTTTTGTAGCTGTGTTTTGTACTATTGTATTGATTTGTAAAGCTTGTTTTTAACCCCTGCACCTACAAACCCTGATGAGTTGTCTTTTACCTGTGTTCTTTGTTGTGATGCTATCTCAAATCTGCCCAGTGATCTTCAGTCACTCTACTCTCCCAGCCAACTCTCCCCAGAGCAGAAATGAGCCTTTCTCTCTTAATTAGCAGAAGGTTGGGACACGCACACACTTTCGAGCTAAAGCCGGTCGCATGCTTCCCAGCCGAAACAGTTCACGCCTGTATTATGACGAAATGTTGTGACTTTTTTTGTTGGTTTTTGTGTATTCAGCTGTTCGCACACACAAAACATTTTCTTAAGGAAGTCGAAGTTCGGTTGCCGAAGTAAATTCAGATGACATTTTATTCATCACATGCTTCATAAACAACAGTTGTGGACTAACAGCAAAACAAATGCTTACTTACGGGCCCTTCCCAACAGTGCAGAGAGAAATAAAATAGAGAAGGAAAACACGTAATAATAGATACATAATGTGTAATGATAACTTGGCTATATACACGGGGTACCAGTTCAGAGTCGATGTGCAGGGGTACGAGGTAATTGAGGTAGATATGTACATATAACTAGGAATAAAGGGACAGATAGTAAACAGTAGCATCAGCATATGTGATGAGTCAAAAAAGTTTGTGCAAAAAGGGTCAATGCAGATAGTCCGGGTAGCTATTTGGTTAACTATTTAACTAACTATTTTCCAGTCATGGCTTGGGGGTAGAAGCTGTTCAGGGTCCTGTTGGTTCCAGACTTGGGGCATCGGTACCGCTTGCCGTGCAGTAGCATAGAGAACAGTCTAAGACTTGGGTGGATGGAGTCTTTGACTATTTTTAGGGCCTTCCTCTTGACACCGCCTGGTATAGAGGTCCTGGATGGCAGGGAGCTCGGCCCCAGTGATGTACGCCCAGTCTACGCCCCTTCGTCGGTGATTGGTCAACAGTACTACTCATAGTAGGAGTGGGAACTATAGATGGGATTATTCAATGAAGTGCTGCCATTCAACAAGAAACAACTAGTTTTCATGCAATTTGTTCACTTACTGCACCAAACATCTTAGTTAGATGTAAAATTGTGCGACTAAGACCTCCTCTGCAAAAACATAACAATTTAATTACCAATCTTTTTTTATTTATCTTTTATTCATTCTGACTATTTTGAGGAAGTGTATACTGGCTATGTTGTTGCTACGGCGTCTCAAGCAGGACAAACCGTAATATTGCCGTTATGTCTCTTTTTTCAAGCAAAGGTCTTTTAAGCGAGGCACAGACGTTCGCTTCGCCTAGCCGAGTTCTGCTAGGAGCAAACCGAACCAGTATGCGGACGCCTTTACACACACACTTTCACAATACAACACACACACACACATTTTCTCTCTGCAATCAGGGCAGAAGTGCAAGGATCAGCTAGTGTTAAATTACCTCCTCCTTGGTTTCGTCAGTGTTTTGTGCATTTTTAATTATGCCCTCATGCACTCAATACACTGATTTGTTTTCTCTCCTGCTGCTTTGGCTCAAGTACTTTACTGTAATGGAATTAATGTCAACTAGGCCCATAGAATGGACAATTTATGTAAAGCAGAGAGGCATTATGGGAGAGGCATCTCCATTTCTATGCATGCATAATTTTGTCATGCATACTCTCTTCCATTACCATGGGTTTTCATCCCATTAACCCAAGTGCATGGTAAGACAAAATCATTAGATCATTTGTTTTGGTACTGTCCATTTGTAGCTTGTTTTTGGACACAGGTCCTGGAATGGCTAAAGGATTGCAATATTTACCTGGAGCTAACCCTGCAGATGGCATTACTGGGTGATCTGAAAAGTCATAGTCGATCAATAATATAATACTTTTAGCAAAAAAAAATTATTTTAAATTTACAATCTATAGAAACAATGAGAATAGAAAGGTTCAGAACTTTTTTAGAACCACAGTACAGTTAAAATATATGGCGAATAGAAATCCAATATGGATGGTGTTAAGAGATAGATGGGTGGTGTTGAATGGAGTTGAAGGATGGGACTAATAACAACTAAACAGCTAATAACAACAAGATAACTAATAATGTAAGCATACTGTGTCCATAATAAGTATATAGGTTATACGTTGAGAGCTTTTGTGAAAGAGCACAGTTAGAAAGATATGGCATATAGAAGCAAACCGGATGGACATCAGAGAGGTTGAGGGTAGAGGAAGTTCAGGAGAAAAAAACAAACAAAATAGAATTATTGTAAAATGGATTGTGTATATAGTATAAACTGGAAGTAGAGGCCTAAGCATTGTTGTTCACTAGTTTGCTCCAATTAGGGAAGGGGTGGTGGGGTTGGAGGGTAATAAAGGGAAATATATATATATTTTAAAGGATATATATATTACGAGGGGGAAAAAACATATGGGGGATTGGAAGTGATGCAGACAATTACATTGATGGAAGTTACAATCTATCTGCAATATTAAGGCTGATCTACCCCCTAAAATAATAAAAAATAAAGACAGTGCTCTTTGGTACACTAACAGGAAATTGTTTTATTTTAGGAGGTAAAGATAAGCTTCTGAGTGAGCCAGTCATTACTCTTACTCAGAGAAGGAGTTCACGCTCCCTTCAAATAGCTACTGTAGCATTTACCTTACCAACCTTTTACCACGTTGTCTGTCTGTCATCCTCCTTGACCTAGTTTGGCTGTCTGACTTGAACACATTCATGCACTCTCCCCAGAGAGGGTTGCAAAACCTCCTGAAGTTGAACCATTTAGGATTGGCAGTGTCAAACCTCTGAGCTTTATCTAGAAAAAATCTAACAAATGTGGAGGTGGACCAGCAAGAAATAAGCAGTAAATGTGCTTCATCAAATATAATTTGACTTTACAACATACAGTATATCACTTCTCCATTCACTAACCTGTACATGCTCTACCTGTTGTCATGTGCAGGCTGTGGACCCTGCCTCTGTTGCCTTGGTGACCCTGGGCTCCTCTAAGGACATGCTGTTTGAGGGCGGGCCCAAGCCCTGGGTCCTAGAACCCTCCAAGTTCTTCCGGAACCTGAAGGCTGAGGATGAGAACAGTGTTAGCCTGGCTCTGACCGCGCCCACCTCCCGTAGCTACCTCCAACACTGGATCAGAGCCACCTGTAGAGCCCTGGGAGAACAGGTGAGGGAATGGGCTTTTCCTTGTTTGGCACCTACTGAATATGACCCTAGGCTTTAAACAAACGTTCTAGCTCTTTAAGATACCTTGTAGATGAAATGCTTTGTTACAAACATTAATAAGTGTGTTATGAACAGGTAATAAGCGTGTTATAACTGTACCTCTCCAGGTATTGGCACTTACTGTGGGGAACCAGCCTAGTCTGACCAATCCCTATCCTGCGGTGGAGCCGGCGGTGGTGATGTTTGTGTGCGCCCCTCCCTCTCGCCTCACCTTGGTCCCTGTGTACACAGGTCCCCAGCTGGACCTCACCTGCCCTCTACTGCAGCAGAACAAACAACTGGTGAGAAAAAGAGAAAGAAAAAGGCAGTGTTTACACAGCACACAAACAAACACACTTGGCACAGGAGCTAGCTAGACAAAAATAAACAAGGCAACGGTAAACATGTCGTCCCTCACGAGTGATGCAGCATCCCCCTTGGGCCAATCAGTGTCGTTTTGTAAGTGATCTCTATGGCAAGACGCATCATTCACCCAAGTTTAGTAAAAAATTGGGCCAGTGGTTGCTGAGATATCGCGTGGGTTAGCTAGACTCATATCCCTGAGCAAGTGTGCCAAATGTCATCACTCTGAGTCCAATAGATCAAGCGATATATGTGCCTGTTATAGCACCACGTCAGCTCGATATGAATGTTCTTGCACATGTTGAGTCTTGACAGTGTTTGCAACATGTGTACCAAATGTTGTTACAAAACGGATATCCTTGACTGATTTATGTGCCAGACCACGTGAATGTGTATTGGTCAGTAGCGGCCATGTTGTTTTAGGTACTAGTCTGGAAAATGTAGATCTTTGTCCATAGATGCCACATATCAAGTTTTAGTGCAGAGTGGTCATTCGGTGCCAGAAGAGTAGCGTTTTAAGTGTTTTTTTCACAAAATTCTAAATGGCGGGAAATCCATCATGGTGACCTTAGGGGTCCCCGAGGCAAATTTTGTTCGTTGTGAGGAGAGGGACTTATGTACCAAACGGGGTGACCTTAAAAAGTTAGCATTTTCAAACTCTTGTAATAGTGCCACCATCTGGCCAATCAGTGTAATTTTGTATATGCCGGATCTCTATGGCAAGACGCGTCATTCACCCAAGTGCCGGTGTTGTCTGAGCGATCGCGTGTGACTAATGTACGAACGAACATACTGACGGATGGAGACAGATCCACAGTCCCCTCCCCGATTTCATTGTGGGGGACAACTATAGAGAGAAATTCATCATGGGGGACAACTAAAGAGAAGGTCATGTCAAGTTTGCCTTTCTGCCTCTTAATTGCACATGGGGGGATAAATAAAGTTGTATTGAATTGAATGTCTGCCTCCCTGTCAGTTTAACTTAGAAAGAAAGAAATAGAGTGGGGGGGAAAACTGTGTGGAACATTATTTGTTGCAGGTGCCTGTCTCAAACTACCGCAACCCTGTGCTGGACCTGGCTGCCTTTGACCAGCAAGGCAGGAAGTTTGACAACTTCAGCTCTCTGAGTATCGTCTGGGAGTCGACCAAGGTGTCCCTGGCCAGTATCGAACCCACCATGCCTATGGGACTGGAATTACTACAGGACAGCAACAAACAGAAGAAACTTCATGGTACGGCTTTGATATTTCTCATGATGGTGTCCTTGTTTGATTTTGTTTTTATTCTTTAGTCTAATACCAGGTGAAACCAGGTGTAATACCAGGTGTTTTTGCAGGCAATTTCAACAGTTTTGTCCAACAGAAATGTCCTCTTTGTCAGGTCGTCAGACGGTCCTTGTCCACCACCAGTCTGGGACTGCTGCTATAACAGTAACAGCTCTGGGTTACCAGGTCCCCCACCTCAAGGCTGCTAAGGTTCTCAGTCCGGTAAGACAGAAACACAACCTTTAGCAGAGAAACATCACCCTTAGAAACATTGCCCTTATCGTATCTATTTTGAAAGCCATTGTGAACATTTTGCGGGTTTATCACTTCCTGCTGTGACTGGCAGGCAGGATGCTGTTAGCTGAGTGTGTGGTTGTCTGTGACCACATAAAATAAACATTTAATCAGCTTAGAGGTTGCTATAGCAACACAAGACAGGAGAGCTGAAAGTCAGAGCTTCACGAACTGTACAAATGTGACCCACCACCTGGATTCAGTCCTATGTAGTAAAATGTGAAGAAAATAATTGTTGGATAAAAGTAGAGACTGAGCTAGAAAATGGTATATCATACACTGCAGTTGAAGAACAATAGGAAAGTAATTCTGCTTTGAAAGTTTATAAACTTGTAACCCCACTTTTGAGAAAATAGCCCGTGAATGTTTTGGTACCTCTACTGGAGAGCTCTTCTTTGTCTACACCCATTCAGCATCGTTCACACCCTCTTAAGCCTTAGCCCCACCCATCTCATTAAGGATTCACAGTATGAAATTAGTAGCAAAGAAAGTAGTCTGCCATGGTTGCCCTTAGTTTGAAGATGTAATCCAAAGACAAGTGTTTTATACAACAGTCTTCTTTCGGTGTTCTCTTTTTGAACTCTCTCCGCATTTGGCAATCATCTCTCTGCTTCCACCAGGCATTCCACTGATTTCAAAACCCGGTCAACTTCTTCCGTGACAACCACACCGTTTCTTCCCCACCATTGTCATCAGGAGACTCTACAATGTCTGGTTCAATGAAAAATGTTTTTATCTAAATCAGGAATTTCCTCATTGTCTGATTCATTTTCAGAGTCAGAGAGAGTCAGCATGGCACAATCATCCTCTAAAAAGTAGTCCATCACAACTTTTTCCCACCGAGCTTTGTCGATAGCACTATGACCTTCAGGGCAGCAATGTTGAGAGCAGTTGCAACATTTTTCAGTTCTTCATGATATCTTTAAAAAAAGCTGCGGTAGAAAGGATTATCCACACATACTGAGCAGCTCATGTTATAGACAGAAGCATGCTACATGTCCAGCCCATTCATTATCTCAGACGATCATGGCTAGCTGGAAGGTTCCTGTATTTGTCTGTGGCTAAACCAACTAGCCTCGTAATGTAACAATTTTATTCGTATTTACAGATGGCATACAAGTTTGTTATTAAGGCACGTGAAAGTTCACATGTTCCAGAAAGCATTTCTGCTATAAAAAAAACATTTTGATTAAAAAAAATAAAGAATCCTTCAAATGCCTCTCCTGTGAATTAGTGACGTGCCACATACGCCTAGTTTCTTGAAAGGGTTCACCAATACTAAATTACAGCATTTCATTTTGCCGTTGATACTAAGACTTCCCCTATGATTTCACTTGACCTTTACCCTACAAGAGTTGAGTTCTGTGGTTATCTCATCTTGGTGTCACTCTGACACTTGTAACCATGGCACCCATCCTGTTTTATCTCTCCTTCTTTCTGGCAGTTTGACCCTCTGACCCCTGTCTCAGCCACTCTGGAACTCCTATTGGTGAAGGACGTGACAGTCAGTCCCGAAGCTGTCACCATATACAATCACCCTGACGTGCGGGTAAGAACTGGGGCCTTTGTAAGGCTTTCAGAAGTGTGAAATGTTCCAGATAGAAATGTATGGCATAGAGCTGACAGAATACAATGTGACCCATCCTTCACTGTCAAAGGTAGTATCTGCTCCCATTTCTATGGTCCTCCAGTCTTCCCTCACTGGGCCCCACCACCACCACTGTATCTTAATCCTCTCTGACCTTTGACCCGTCTCACACTGTAATCTTCTTACTAAGGTCACTGCCTGCCATGTAACCCCCTTATTCAATCTCCCTCTATATCACTGACTGCTCACAGATCCCAACTAGCTGAGAGCACTAGATTATGATGCCTTGAAATTAGAGCTGGGACGATAAACCAAAAATGATTGACACCGACCACTTATTGTGGACATTTTGCAGATATTGTTCATTACGATAAGTAACCTGTAGGGCCCTACTAGAGAAATGTGAAGTTTGAAATGAATGAAGTTATGGGTGATTGTTGATGGCACAATTGATAGCTATAACATTGAAAGAAGTAATAGGAGTTATTATTTTATTTTATTTTGGTGCACATTGTTATAAACGTATTGTTCTATTTATCATGATAATTCAGTCAATTTATTGTGGTATGGATTTTTTTTTTATATTGCCCAGCTCTACTTGAAATATTCCACACAGGTGTCCACTGGCCCTTCATCACAAGGTCTTATCAGCATGGCTGATCAATTCTGCTGCATGGATTATCTCACTATAATTACAAATGATTACTTGTGGCCCATGATGTGAATAACATGTACCTTTCAGCTGATATTGTGATGGGCCTTGGGCTGCTTCTTTGTCATCTTGTCCATTGTGGTGTCATGCTTTCATCTACGGCTTCTCCTGTTGTGTGTCCTGCAGGCTGACCTGGCCCTGAGGGAGGGCTCTGGGTATTTCTTTGTCAACACCAGTGCTGGAGGGATAGCAGACGTGGTGTACCAGGAGGCCCAGGGATCTGCTGAGGTGAGGAGAATCACAGAACTCTCAGAATGGCAATGCTGTTGAGCATACCACTCTTAAATATATGTATGATGATGTGATGTGTTGTACACCTGCCTTCTTAGTTCCTACACCTCCCTTTGCCCCTTTATTTTTTATTTAACCTCTATTTAACTAGGCAAGTCAGTTAAGAACAAATTCTTATTTACAATGATTGCTTACCAAAAGGCAAAAGGCCTCCTGCGGGGACGCTGGCTGGGATTTAAAAAAATTATATATATATTTATATGACCAAATACACATCACAACAAGAGAGACAACACAACACTACATAAAGAGAGACCTAAGACGACAACATAGCATGGCAGCAACACACGGCAACACAGCAAGGTAGCAACCCAACATGAAAACAACACGGTAGCAACACAACATGGCAGCAGCACAAGACATGGTACAAACATTATTGGGCACAGACAACAGCACAAACCTTATCATCCTACTTTCTAACACTATTGTAACTGAAGTGATGCTCTGAATGCAACATTGATGAAAGCACTAGGACATCCGTGTGCCTTGAGAAAGGGTGTTGTAACATAAAATGAGAACATGTCATTTAAACCCTTGCATCACTGTGGCCTCTCCATGTGCTCAAGGTGCTTCCAGTCCAGCCGGGGACAGTGCAGGTGATGGTTCATGACCTCTGCCTGGCCTTCCCAGCCCCTGCTACGGCTACGGTCCACATCTCAGACATCCTGGAGGTTTATGTCCGAGTGGTTGACAAGGTCAGTGGCCAGCCTCAATTCTTTATCCTGCAAGGCAGACACTCAGCTCATGCTGAAATTCCAAAAGCTGTGTATCACTGGTTTGCCAAAACAACAGGAAAGTCTTGTTCACTATGTGAAGTGTGTATTCAGGGAATTGACATTTTAAAAAATTATATACAGTACCAGTCAAAAGTTTGGACACCTACTCATTCAAGGGTTTTTCTTTATTTTCTTTGAAAAGCATTCCAGGTGAAGCTGGTTGAGAGAATGCCAAGAGTGTGCGAAGCTACATGATTCCATATGTGTTATTTCATAGTTTTGATGTCTTCACTATTATTCTACAATGTGAAAAATTGTAAAAATAAAGAAAAACCCTTGAATGAGTAGGTGTGTCCAAACTTTTTACTGGTTGTGTGTATGTGTATATATATATATATATATATATATATATATATATATATATATATATATAAAATAGGAACTAAGATGCTGTGAATGTTGGTTAGATCAGTGTTGAGTGTAGCTGCTTGTATACTTAGTAGAACAAAACACAAACAAACACTTTTATGCAAATGACTAATGAAATTAGAGCCAAAAATAGAGCTTGTCATATTAACAAAACATGTACTGGTTTCTTGCAGGTGGAGATTGGTAAATCTGTGAAAGCCCATGTCAGGGTTCTGGATGACAACAAGAAGCCCTTTTTGGCCAAATATTTCCGCTTTTTGAATCTGAAACTCACTGCAGCGTCCGGTATCATCTCTCTGCAGTAAGTTACAGTTACATTAATGAATCATATAAGTATCAAGTTTTGTTCTTAGAGCAAATATTATTACACGCACACCATCACATTGCCTCTGTCTGTGCCACTTGGAATTGAAAAATGGATAGGAATTACTCCTGCATGCACCTCGGCACGCATGTTTTGCCTACATTTCAGTAAAGTAGACAGTTCACCGTTCATGTTTTGTTTTCCCCAGAGCACTGTCAGATCCTTCAGAGAAGGACACGGCAATCTTCCTGGTCAAAGGCTTAGCAATCGGACAGACCAGCGTGTCTGCTATGCTAGTAGACAAAACTGGAAGGAAGATTGCATCTGCTCCTCAGCAAATAGAGGTAGGAGGGTTTTCATGAGACCCTCCCTGAAACATGTTGTCCAATGATGTTCTATTATGTGTGTTGAAAGACACTCGTTTTTGTTTCGGTCTTTCTAGGTGTTCCCACCATTCAAACTGATCCCCAGGAAAATGACACTGATAATCGGAGCTATGATGCAGGTATATTGGATTGTTTGATTGTAGGATTATTGTGGGAAAACCCTGTCCTCTGCCCTCACTGTCCCCCACACTGATAAAACAGGATGTCCTGTCTGGAGAATCTCCTGTTGTGAAGATGATTTGAATCACCACACGCTTTCAAATAGGCTTTTCCAGCTTACCTGTTGAGCAACTGCTCATGTCTGTTCTTTGTATTTGTGAAGCTCTCCACAGGCCATTTAATTGCTGAGTATTAAGTCATTGTAAATGCACACACCCTGTGAGTAACATGTTGATTTAATCTCCAAATCTCCAGTGTTGATTATTCTAACAGACCATGAATGATTTGATTGCCTTGAGCAATTTAAAGACCCCACATTGACAAGAGTTGATGAACACGCTGGCAGTATCCTCAGGGCCAGTCATGTGAAACTAATAGTCTACCATATTTATGGCACACACACACACACACACCACCCTTTACCTCGTCTCTCCATGTTGTAGATCACATCCGAGGGCGGCCCACAGCCCCAGTCCAACATCCTCTTCTCCATGGCCAATGAGGAGATAGCTTCTGTTAACGACATAGGTCACGTCAGGGGCGTCGCCATTGGCAACGTCACGGTGACAGGACTGGTTCAAGCTGTCGATGCAGAGACTGGGAAGCTTGTCATTGTCTCTCAGGTAAAATACTTCATCATCGGTACATCATCGGTACATCATCATCTGCTTTTCACCAATTGAAAGTGATGTACTTCTATTCTGATGTTTGCTATGACCAGGATCAAGTAGAGGTTGAAGTTGTGCAGTTGAGGGCCATTCGCATCCGAGCCCCTATCACCAGAATGAAGACTGGGACACAGGTAACACATGATAAATGAACTGTAATCTCAAATGGCCTCTGACAGTGTCCACAGGACATACTTCACTCTAAGTAAGATGCGTTACATTGTGAATATCAACAGACGTGTGACCTGCTTTGAGTTTCCTCATCCTGTCCCCTCTCCTAGATGCCTGTGTATGTGATAGGGCTCACTAGCAGTCAGACCCCCTTCTCCTTCGGCAACGCCCTGCCTGGCCTCACCTTCCATTGGTCCACCACCAAGAGAGACATCCTGGAACTCCAATCACGACATGCCGAGGTGGGAACCAGTTTTTGATCTAGAGTTTTTCTTCTTGATGAGTGAGAAAGGTTACATTCAAGGCCACAAGCACCTTCCACAATAAGCCATAAATAGTGTAGTGGAAAAACTGCTTTGATTAAATTATAGATGAGTCGGATCTTTGTTTTGAGCTCCTATGAACCTTTGTATCAGAGTGACTGAATTAGTACAAAACGATTCGCCATCTTCACCAGAGAAACAACATCTGATATTTCTACTGTCTCATTTCTAACACTATTTCTGCTTTCATTCACTGATAAAATGCCTCTCTCTCTCTGTAGGCAGCTTTCCAGCTCCAACCAGAGCATAACTTTGCTATGAGTGTAACAGGGAAGACTAAAGGAAGGACAGGGCTGAAGGTGGTGCTAAAGGTCACCCACCCAAAAGATAGGCAACTGGAGAGGAACCTACTGGAGCTCAGTGACGAACTCCAGATCCAGGTACTATACTTATGCAGACTCCTATATGCCAGGAGAACTCATATCCCAGGTTTGGAGTACTGCTGTCTTTCTTTTCTCCCTGGTAGTTATTTGACTGATTGGCCAGAGATCCCAATCTCCCGGTGTCCTAGGTCTGGATCAGTCCCTGATTAAAGGTTTACAATGCAAATCAGCAGTACTACTGTACTGGCCTAGAGGTCTGGATTTGAGAAAGGGGTATACTACTCTTACTACTACTACTACAACAATAATAATAACAACAACAACAACAACAATAATAATAATAAGAATAATAAGAATAATATCTACTACTACCACTACTACTACTACTACTACCACTACTACTACCACCACCACCACTACCACTACTACTACCACTACTACTACCACCACTACTACTACCACTACCACCACCACCACTACCACCACTACCACTACTACCACTACTACTACCACCAACCACTACTACTACCACCACCACTACTACCACCACTACTACTACCACCACTACTACTACCACCACTACTACTACCACTACTACTACTACTACTACTACCACTACCACCACTACTACCACTACTACTACCACTACCACCACTACTACCACTACTACCACAACATTTACATTTACGTCATTTAGCAGACGCTCTTATCCAGAGCAACTTACAAATTGGTGCATTCACCTTATAGCCAGTGGGATAACCACTTTCCAATATATATTTTTTTTTGGAGGGTGGGATAAGGGGGGGGGGGTAGAAGGATTACTTTATCCTATCCCAGGTATTCCTTAAAGAGGTGGGGTTTCAAGTGTCTCCGGAAGGTGGTGAGTGACTCCGGCGTCCTGGCGTCGTGAGGGAGCTTGTTCCACCATTGGGGTGCCAGAGCAGCAAACAGTTTTGACTAGGCTGAGCGGGTACTGTGCTTCCGCAGAGGTAGGGGGGCCAGCAGGCCAGAGGTGGATGAACGCAATGCCCTCGTTTGGGTGTAGGGACTGATCAGAGCCTGAAGGTACGGAGGTGCCGTTCCCCTCATAGCTCCATAGGCAAGCACCATGGTCTTGTAGCAGATGCAAGCTTCAACTGGAAGCCAGTGGAGTGTGCGGAGGAGCAGGGTGACGTGAGAGAACTTGGGAAGGTTGAACACCAGACGGGCTGCGGCATTCTGGATGAGTTGTAGGGGTTTAATGGCACAGGCAGGGAGCCCAGCCAACAGCGAGTTGCAGTAAACCAGACGGGACATGACAAGTGCCTGGATTAGGACCTGTGTAAGGCAGGGTCGTACTCTCCGAATGTTGTAGAGCATGAACCTACACGATCGGGTCACCGCCTTGATGTTAGCGGAGAACAACAGGGTGTTGTCCAGGGTCACGCCAAGGCTTTTTGCACTCTGGGAGGAGGACACAACGGAGTTGTCAACCGTGATGGCGAGATCATGGAACGGGCAAGTCCTTCCCCGGGAGGAAGAGCCAGCTCCGTCTTGCCGAGGTTCAGCTTGAGGTGGTGATCCGTCATCCACACTGATATGTCTGCCAGACATGCAGAGATGCGATTCGCCACCTGGTTATCAGAAGGGGGAAAGGAGAAGATTAGTTGTGTGTCGTCTGCGTAGCAATGATAGGAGAGGCCATGTGAGGATATGACAGAGCCAAGTGACTTGGTGTATAGTGAGAATAGGAGAGGGCCTAGAACTGAGCCCTGGGGGACACCAGTGGTGAGAGCACGTGGTGCGGAGACAGATTCTCGCCACGCCACTTGGTAGGAGCGACCTGTCAGGTAGGACGCAATCCAAGAGTGAGGCGCGCCGGAGATGCCCAACTCGGAGAGGGTGGAGAGGAGGATCTGATGGTTCACAGTATCAAAGGCAGCAGACAGGTCTAGAAGGACAAGAGCAGAGGAGAGAGGGTTAGCTTTAGCAGTGCGGAGAGCCTCCGTGACACAGAGAAGAGCAGTCTCAGTTGAATGACCAGTCTTGAAACCTGACTGGTTTGGATCAAGAAGGTCATTCTGAGAGAGATAGCAAGAGAGTTGGCTGAAGACGGCACGCTCAAGAGTTTTGGAGAGAAAAGAAAGAAGGGATACTGATCTGTAGTTGTTGACATCGGAGGGATCGAGTGTAGGTTTTTTGAGAAGGGGTGCAACTCTCGCTCTCTTGAAGACGGAAGGGACGTAGCCAGCGGTCAAGGATGAGTTGATGAGCGAGGTGAGGTAAGGGAGAAGGTCTCCGGAAATGGTCTGGAGAAGAGAGGAGGGGATAGGGTCAAGCGGGCAGGTTGTTGGGCGGCCGGCCGGCCATCACAAGTTGCAAGATTTCATCTGGAGAGAGAGGGGAGAAAGAAGTCAAAGCATAGGGTAGGGCAGTGTGAGCAGGACCAGCAGTGTCATTTGACTTAACAAACAAGGATCGGATGTCGTCAACCTTCTTTTCAAAATGGGGGGATTCAGCAGGGAGGAGAAGGTGGCAAAGAGATTCTTAGGGTTAGAGGCAGATGCTTCGAATTTTGTGGTAGAAAGTGGCTTTAGCAACAGAAACAGAGGAAGAAACTGTAGAGAGGAGGGAGTGAAAAGATGCCAGGTCCGCAGGGAGTCTAGTTTTCCTCCATTTCTGCTCGGCTGCCCAGAGCCCTGTTCTGTGAGCTCGCAATGAGTCGTCAAGCCACGGAGCAGGAGGGGAGGACCGAGCCGGCCGGGAGGATAGGGGACATAGAGAGTCAAAGGATGCAGAAAGGGAGGAGAGGAGGGTTGAGGAGGCAGAATCAGGAGATTGGAGGGAGAAGGATTGAGCAGAGGGAAGAGATGATAGGATGGAAGAGGAGAGAGTAGCGGGAGAGAGAGAGCGAAGGTTGCGACGGCGCATTACCATCTGAGTAGGGGCAGAGTGAGTAGTGTTGGAGGAGAGCGAGAGAGAAAAGGATACAAAGTAGTGGTCGGAGACATGGAGGGGAGTTGCAGTGAGATTAGTAGAAGAACAGCATCTAGTAAAGATGAGGTCAAGCGTATTGCCTGCCTTGAGTAGGGGGGGACGGTGAGAGGGTGAGGTCAAAAGAGGAGAGGAGTGGAAAGAAGGAGGCAGAGAGAAATGCGTCAAAGGTAGACATAGGGAAGTTAGTCACCCAGAACTGTGAGGGGTGAGCCATCCTCAGGAAAGGAACTTATCAAGGCGTCAAGCTCATTGATTAACTCTCCAAGGGAACCTGGAGGGCGATAAATGATAAGGATGTTAAGCTTGAATGGGCTAGTGACTGTGACAGCATGGAATTCAAATGAGGAGATAGACAGATGGGTCAGGGGAAAAAGAGAGAATGTCCACTTGGGAGAGATGAGGATTCCTGTGCCACCACCCCGCTGACCAGATGCTCTCGGGGTATGCGAGAACACATGGTCAGACGAGGAGAGAGCAGTAGGAGTAGCAGTGTTTTCAGTGGTAATCCATGTTTCCGTCAGCGCCAAGAAGTAGAGAGACTGGAGTGTAGCATAGGCACCACTACTACTGGTACTACTACTACTACTACTACTACTACTACTACTACTACTACTACTAATTACTTAATACTACCAATACTACTACTACTACCACTCCCACCACTACTACTTATCTATACTACCACAACCACTACTAATACCACCACTACCAATACTACCACTACAAAACCACTACTACTACCACTACCACTACCACTACTACTACTACTACTACTACTACTACTACTACTACTACTACTACCACTACTACTACCACTACCACCACTGCTACCACTACTACTACCATGCTACTACACCACTATACTCTCACTACCAATACCACTCACCACCACCAACTACTACTACTACTACTACTACAACCACTACCACCACTACTACTACCACTACTACCACTACTACTACTACTACTACCACTACTCCTCTCAGGGTTCATACCCGGACGCAGCACTGCGATTGGTCTTTCTGTGTGGCTGGATCACACTGTCTCAGAAATATGACACGACTACTCAAGATAGTTTATAGTGCTTGTTTATGGACCTCCACCTGTTCTCCTGTGCCCTTCCACCTAAAAACAAACTGAAAGTGAACAAACACTGCAAGAGCAAACATGCTGAGAAGTCTGACTGTAAATCAGTGATGTTTTGAGTGTGGTTGAGTACTTGAAGGAGAAGTTTGCTTTTTTACAACCAAATCTAAAACATTTATGTAAATGACATAAAAAGGGTCCTGAAAAAAAACATGAACTCGTGCTCCAAAAACACCCAAATATGTTATTTTAGGAACGGAAACGCTCTCAGTATAGTGATGCAGGTCTTTAGATGCTGTACACATGAAATTGTCATTCCAAACTTTATCCGCAACGTTATATTCCATTTTGTGCGATTCGAGCTGTTTCCCCTAACCAGCTGTTCCATTCTCTGTGAAGCCTGCTGCTAGAATGGACGGAGAGGTATCGCTCAATTCGCAAAACAAAATGGAATATAACGTTGCAGATAAAGTTCTAAATGACACCATTTCATGTGTACGACCTCTAAAGACCTGCATCACTATACTGCGAGCATTTCAGTTTCTAAAATGACGTATTTGGGTGTTGTTGGCGCCTTTCTTAATGTGTTTTTGGATCCCCCGTACTGTATAAAGAAGAGGTAGAAGTGAATCGCTGGTTGTGGTACGTTTCTCAAAAACAAGTGAAATCTCTAAGAAAAGTTTCTGGACCCTTCTATAACATGCCATTTACATCAAAAATAGAGATTTGGTTGTAACAAAGCAAACTTGTCCTTTAAAGTGTCACTTTGTAAAGTGATAAGAAGGCAGATTGGCCTGCGATGTCGTGTGCATCTCGCTTCAAACTGCATTAGACTATGTCGTGTCACGAAGACCCAAAAATCAAAGGATGGGTAAAAACCTCCATGTAATTACACTGTCAACTCTTCCCTTTGATCAAGGTTTATGACAAGCTGCACATGCTTAACCCAGCCGTGGAGGCTGAGGAGATACTGATGGCTCCCAACTCTGGGCTCAAACTCCAGACCAACCGGTAAGGGAAGAGGGGTCTACCAACCTTAACACTTTTGTCTCCACCTGAGACACTTTGAACACTCAACAGTTTACTTTGAGCACTCAGCATTACACATGACCTCTTCAGTTCTGTCTCAAATGACACCATATCCTCTCTATAGTGCCCTACTCTTGATATTAAAACAACTGTTTGAGTCTTCTCCAGAAAATAGAAAGCTACTAACTCTGGTGTGTGTGTGTGTGTGTGAACAGGGACGGTGTGGTTGCTCTGTCCTACCAGGTGCTGGACTGTCCCGACCAGGCTACCGTTGTCCAGGTGGATGAGAAGGGCCTCTTGTCCTCCGGCTCGCTCACTGGCTCCTCCTCCCTGCTGGTGACCTCACAGGAGACCTTCGGTGTCAATCAAACCCTGGTCCTCGCAGTGAAGGTGAGACCCTCTGCTCCTTAATTCAATTCTATGAATCTTTATTGCCCCTACGGGGAATAAATGAAACGTTAACACAGTGCAATGAATGAGAATGTGATTTTGTTCAATTAATAAGTTCTATCCATATCGTCGTAAGTTTACCGCGTCTCATGCAAATGTTGACAATAACCGAAACTTCATTACCCACACTTACGTCTATCATCTTACTTCATGCCATTATAAAGTCATGACAAATGGCAACACATTTTAAGAATATTAAATGAGAGATGGATTGCTTTGTATATTTCCTTACATTGTAGTCTATCCCCCTCTGTGGTTTCCCAGGTGGCCCCAGTGTCGTACCTGCGTTTCAGCACCAGTCCAGTTATCCACAACCCATCCAGGGACAGCCTGTCTGCTATTCCTCTGGGCATGGTGCTTACCTTCACTGTTCACCTCCATGCTAACACGGGAGAGGTCCTTCACAGCCACAACTCACTGCTCACATTCACCACCAACAGGTAAGTTCACACATGTTATTTCTATTTAATGATGGTCTCTTTCTGTGTATTTCCTTATGGGTATTAATTTTCAGGTTACAATAATACTATTTTGGGCAGATTTGAAAGTCAAGTGAATGTACCACTTTTGGTATAATAAAGGGTAACTTGTACTTGAAAAAATGTATGAAGCCGTGGAGGCTGCTGAGGGGAGGACGGCTCATAATAATGGCTGGAATTGAGTCTAATGGAGTGAATGGAATGGTATCAAACAAATGGCAACCATGTTTTTGATACCATTCCATTTACTCCATTCCAGACATTATTTTGAGCCGTCCTCCCCTCAGCAGCCTCCACTGGTATGAAGGTGAACACATTGGGGAAGGAAATAGGGGAAGGAAAGGTGAAAGCAGCAAGGCAGGCGATTGAGATGGGATGGTAGGGTTAAGGCTGTGTGGACCAAGGCTGTGGAGCCATTATTCTGTCATTCTGCGCTGGAAATGTAGTGCCATGGCTTCTCTCTCAGTGCTCTGTTAGTGCAAGCGCTTCCAGGCTTCCTCAAACTGTCTCACACTCCAATTTCTTCGGAGAAAAAAAAAGAAGCTTAAAGAGAGTTAGACGAGATGACAGCACTCCAAACTGTTCTGCCTTTAACAGTGGAAGAGAAAATTGCATTTGGCACTTAAATCTATAAGAATGCATTTATTCAATCAGGTCTTGTAGCCCTCGCAGCAAAGTAGACATTGTATGTTACATACCGACACCATCTCTGGTATTGATTTTCTAAATTACATTTCAATGCATTGTATGTGGTGTATTTCTTTAAATATATATTGACCCGTAAAAAAGATATCTACCTGACATTGAGATATGTAGAAGTGGAAGCACTGGTTTTCTGCTCTGTTTTGCTGTTTGAGTGCAACATAAAGTGTGTGTGTGTGTGTGAGTGTGCACATTGCACAGCCCAAGTCTGTTTATCTGGATGCTGCAGCAGGACAACTAAAGTAAATGAGTGCACCATGGCAGGGTTTAAAGCCAGCATGTCTCTCCCAAGGTTCCCAACATTAATTTAGACTGCTTTTCGTTCCTCCCCATTCAGAGTGAGTTGTTTCCACCTGAGTGAGCTAAATTAATGGGAGAGGGGGAAGAAGAGAGGTTGCACTGCTCAACCCGGCTAGGGACTCCCTCATTGGCCTGCACAATAAATTGATTCCATTACTTAGTTCTCAAGGTGCTGACAGACTACTTTAGGAGAGACATGTCCAAATAAGAGTAAGGAAGGGGCTGATGGTGGGGTAGTAAGGGGTTCTATATGTGATTAGGCTCTATAGGGCCTCAGAGGGCCACAGGAGAGTCACTTTTGTGTTGTGCCATGGCAGAGGTAGTTGATTACTGGTTATGCAAGGAAAGCCATTGGGAATTCATACCAACCAACTACATGTTGACCATTTCCTCTCCTCTCTGTCTGTAGGGATGACCTGGTGCAGGTGGGCCGGGGCCCGGGTAACAACACCCTGACGGTGCGGACGATCAACGTGGGCCTCACCCTGCTGGCCGTGTGGGACAAGGAGCAGGCAGGCATGGCTGACTACCTGGCGCTGCCCGTCCAGCACGCCATCCACCCCGAAGACGCCACGAGACTGGTGGTGGGAGACGTGGTCTGCCTCAGCGCCCAACTCCTCAGCCCCCAAGGTGAGAGTTCAAGGAGGGGTTAATGTGGTGTTGTAAAATAACAGGTGCACTGTCACTAGTAGTACAACCAAGGTGCATGAAATTGAGATGAGGCTTATCTACAAAGATGTTTAAACGATTTTGGAGCAAAATGGATGTTTCGTTGGATAGATGCAGTTTCATGTGGTTCTTTGATGTTGCATCTTAAATATGTGATATCAGTGGAGGCTGGTGGGTGGAGCTAAATGAGGACGGGCTCATTGGAATGGCTAGACTGGAATAGATGGAACGGTATCAAACACATTGAAACCACGTTTGTCTCCGTTCCATTGATTCCATTCCAGCCATTACAATGAGCCCATCCTCCTATGGCTCCTCCCACCAGCCTCCACTGTGTGATATGTAATATTGATCTGTTTGGCAATTTCCTTGTTAGTTTTTATCTACTTCGGAATGGAGTCATATTTCTGCTGATTTTCTAAACATTACCATTGTCAGCAAACATTACCATTGTCAGCCCTGCGGGAAGCAGTGTGACGGATAAGACAGTCTTACAGTAAAGGAAGTGTGAATATTCTAGATGAGTGTTGAACCAATTGTAGTGTTTCAGCTCTACTCTTTTCCCTACAGGTGTCCCGGGTACCTGGAGCTCCTCATCCACTGGCGTGCTGCAGGTGGACTCTAAAATGGGCGTGGCCGTGGCAAGAGATGCAGGCACCACCACTGTCTACTATGAGATCCCTGGCCTGCTGAAAACCTACAGAGAGGTACTGCAACGACAACCTTACTACCAGATAACATTTATCTGTGTTAGAGATGGGATGAAAGGGCGTAGTGCAACAACAAATGGTTTAATCATGAATCATGATTATCCAAAACATTACACACTATCCCGGTTTCTAGAGAGGTGGACAACTCTACTTAACTCACCACCATCATCGTCGTTTTGATCAGAACTAGATGATCATGGCTGTCTCAGTGTAATGTGTGTTGACGGCCCTCCACCCCCTTCTGTGGGTCTGATGGTCCTCCACAAAGAGACAACGCAGGCAGCATGGAGAAGATTAATTAGACTTAACTCACCACCATATCATCGTCGTTTTGATCAGAACTAGATGATCATGGCTGTCTCAGTGTAATGTGTGTGACGGCCCTCCCACCCCCTTCTGTGGGTCTGATGTCTCCACAAAGAGACACGCAGGCAGCATGGAGAAGATTAATTAGCCCAGCCTTCCTCTTTGAGATGGATCTCTCTCTCTCTCTCACTCTCTCTCTCTCTCACTCTCTCTCACTCTCTCACTTTCTCACTCACTCAAAGAACATCTCTCACCGCCTCTTATGTCTCTTCCAGGCAGCTCCCTCTTTCCGGCTTCTATGTGTTCCTGTGTTTACATATGAATCTTTCCCAATTAGCTGACAGTGAGTGACTGAGGAGGATCAGTGTTGAGTGGATTAGATAGATGCTATCTGGATCAGTAGTTAACACTCCGACAGGAACAACACATCTTAAAGGAGAAGGCTCTGAATGGAGATGTTAACCAGTACCGTGTTGCTGTACTGAACACTGAAGTGAATAAGCCCAGCTGTTCTCTTCAATTTGCACATACATGGGATTTAAATCACAGGACAGGTGAATGCAATGTGGAGGCTACATGGAATCGCTTTTACCAATCCGGTTCCTTTATGTCAGTGCAGATGAAAGAAGGTAGACAATGAGCGGAGACTTCTTCTCCGACTTGAGATGCACCCCAAATAATACCAGTGTTGTGACTCCCTGTGTTGGTTTGTTTCAGGTGGTGGTGGAGGGGGCCACCAGGACAGCGGTGATGGCTCACCCTGCAGCGGTGAGGGGGGACAAGGACACCAGGGTGCTGCTCACCACCAGAGAGACGGGAACCAACCTCATAGGCTCCTGTTCCTCGGCCCAGACTGCCTTCATCGCCCCGCTGCACCCTGAGACCTCCGTCAGCTGCCATCTGAGCTTCACCAGCGACGCCGTCGAGTTCTCCGCCCATGATGTCTACCTGACACACACCAGCTTCGACCCCAGCACCGGTAAGACCTGTTCTCGGGCTCAAGGAAGATGAGGTGGTGAATGTTGGCCAGTATGTTTACTGAATGGTCTTTGCTCCAACCTTCAGTTTACTTGTGTATAATGGATTTGACCTTCACATCATTAATCACCCATTAGATCCATTGGAAATGCATGCAGCAGGAGGGATTTATTAAACCCACAGTGGGTCAGCTGGTGTGTGCAGTGCAGTGCACCAGGGGCTGCTCTGGCAAAGAGGGCAAGGACGTTTACAAAGGAATAATTTACTGAAGGCCATAAATGGTGTCGGGGTGATATATTCAGCAGAATGGGCCTAATTGTTTTGGGGAGTTTGGGGCTCCTCTCCCGCCCTGGCCCAGTGCAGGCTTATGTTTGGGGGGGGGGGGGGACTAATGGGCCTGTATGAATGTGAGATGACTCTGGAGCGGGGAGGGTGGGGAAGGTAAACAGGGGAAGGTAAACCGACTAAACACCACCACAGGTGGGAAAAGATTCTCCCTCCACTATTACTACATAAGGGATTAGAATTCAGTGGGTTCTAATCATGTTTTAAATGGAATTCTCGTGGCTATTGCATTTGTGCCTTTTAAATAATGTTTTAAGGAAGAGGCGTTTAATGTTGTAGAGGAGAAGCCTAGTCTTTAAGAAGTAGATTCTAGGAAGCATCCATGAGCATGGAAAACTTGAAATAAGAAAGATTTTGATGTCACTTTCTCTTTAGAAACGCTGACACCTATTATTACCTGTCCACCTCTGCCCTCCCTCTCTCCCTCCCAGGGTTCTACTCCTGCTCTATGACCCTGCAGCCTCTGAGTGACCAGCAGACACGGGTGCTGAGCCTGTCCATGACCAACCTGTTGGTGACGGCTGGGGTGAAGGGCAGTGCCTTCTCTGGGGAGCAGGTCAGTGCCAGGCTGCCCGTGGAGACAGGCCTGTACTCTGACCAGACGGAGTTGCTGCTCAGCAACCTGCAGCCCGACGCAGAGCTCACAGTCTACGGCCCCACCGCAGCACTCGGCAGCCTGGAGGTATGTCAGTCTGTCTGTCTGTCAATCAATCAACTATATTTTAAAGTGCCTTTGACATGGGTCTCATCACACCTTCCAGAAGGCATTAAAAATGGAAAAGGGAAATTGATGAGGGAGGTATAACATTTGGCACTGGATGTCACTTCTCCATAACCCCACTGTTTCACCCACCATCTCCTCCTGTCCGTTAGGTGTCGTCCAGCTCTCCGGCCATCTCGGTCCGGGAGAGAGAGGTGTCCCACGGCTTCCCCAGTTTCTCTAAGTACACTGTCAGTGCGGTGGACCCCCAGGCTGCAGCCTCAGCCTCCGTGTCCATAACCAGCTCATCCACTGGCCAGACCCTCGTCATCCCAGTCACCCTCATCCACGTGACTGATCCCAGCACCACCATGCAAGGTCAGCTAGCCATCTCTGAGTGGAACGGGGTTGACGATATGGTAGATGGAATAACTCTGATGGTGCAGGATAGCAAGATGTACTATAAAAGAGGGGAAGCTGTCAACACCCTTTAATAGTATTTGAGATAATTATAGCAGTGTTGGGATTCTTTTCTTGAAAATGTTCAGGTCAGCCATTTTATCTGAGAGCGTTATTATTATGGCATCAGTAGGAAAGCATTAGACTGCAGTGTGAACCCTGCATCCTCTGACCAGCCATCCATAAAGCCATTTAGTTGTTCATGGGCTTGAGAAATGGAGCACATTAGGATTTCACTGCAGTGTCGACTAGCACCACACCGTCGTCGTTGCAGTATTTTTATTTTTTTTAAACATTTGGTAACACGTTCATAATTGTTAGAAAGAAGCACTTAGCAGTGTCATATCCTAGTCTCACCCATTCCTTTTGTCCTCTACAGGTGCTTCTCCCCTGGTTGCCATGGAAGGAGCCCATTTCCTGCAGGCCTTCATAGACTCCTACCAGATGATGTTCTTCACCATCTTCGCGCTACTGGCTGGCACCGCCATCATCATCATCGGTGAGTAGCCACATCCCCAACTAGGATTGTGTTTTTGCACGAGACCTGTCATCACTTTACCTTGTTAGCAGATCTGCATAGATTACGCAATATAATACATGTGGGTTGGATAGTGACTGTTTTGATGTTGATACTGTAGATCTTCAGGGACCATGAAGACATTTGACCATTTATAACATGTCATGTTAATGCTCTCTTCCTACCCAGTGTGCCATGCACTGTTCTCTCAGAGGGACTTAGCACCTCACCCAGCCTTCATTCAGAGGACACCGTCCCCTTCAGGTAGAGACCTGTCATTGTTTACAATATGTACACTTTTAAATAGTGTTGACTTCAGTTTGCCACTTTCTAACAGGCTTTATACCTCTGCGACACAATTTAATTGAAAGAGGTAACTGCAGTACATTTATATTTTATTTCAGCTGTGTTTGGCTAAATGTTGTTTTGCTCATTTGCTTAGTAGACATTTGTTGAATAGCTGTTTGGAGACATTGATTAGAGCAGTTTATTGCTCATATACTCTTTGCTCCATTGAGGGTTCTTGAGTTTCAGTGCTGTTCCATTTGTTTAGCATGCTGTGTCTCACTCACACCTCTTTCAGGTTTTGCCTCACCCGTCTCAAACTCCTTCGCCCACAACATGACCTCCTCGGACACAAGGAGCAGCCCCAAACTACGACTCTTCTCCCCAGACTATAACTCCCGGTAGAGATCCCTACAGTACCTACCGCAGCTTATGACAACACCCCTGGCCTGAACTCTACACGGGATTGGGAAGTGGTGCCTTTGTCACTCAGAGGAGAATGTCAGAGAATATTACTGCTTGCTTCGGTCATATGTACAGTATTCAAAAGTATGTGAGTTTGTTTAAAAAGGGGCAAACTCTTACAAAGTTGCATTTTCACTTAGTCATGCATTGAGGTCAATGGGAGACTAAGTGAACTTTTGACTTAAATGGAAGTTATGATTTGCCCCAAAATGTGCACTTCAATTAGGACTGAAGACAGACTTTAAGCAATATGAAGTCAACAGGGCTATCTTTGTGTGTGCGCGTGTTCTCAATTGGGCAAAAGTCTGTCCTCTCCTCGACTCCTCCTTTCCAACGTGACTCGGAAACCGATAAGTGGTGGCCATATGTAGGAGTGTCTCAATTCGTGAACTGAGGAGTTTGCTCGTCTCCTTGATACGCTACTTATCTTTTTATCTATAAAATGTCTGGCACAACCAGCAACATTTATTTTTTACCACATAACACATATTTTGGTATTCCTCCTCTGCGAATGTAATTTGCCTTGTGATGCGCAAGTGGAGAAGGAGCCTCATTTCATACAAGCACATTTGTTTGCACGATTACCTTTGACCTTTTTCAAAAGGAGGCGAGGAGAGGACAGAGGAAAGGATACAAGGAGTCAAGTAAAACCAATTGAGAATCTCCCTGTGTGTATGTGAAGCACAGCACAAACCATCCCTGCCCCAACTGCAGGTCACGGATTGGCCTGATCAGCCATCTCCGGACCCATGGCCAGACAGACCATGTGTGAAGCATGGTGTGTGTGTTTTTGTGTGTGAATCATGGTACATTAAACTAGTCCGAATGTTTGTTTTTTGCAAAAGAAAATGTTGTACTCTGTTTTCAGAATTTGTTTTTACACCGTATTATGTGTGATTTCAGACCTATACTTAATTTTAAGAGGCTGCAACCGTTAACTAATTTATACTCCCATTTTGCTTTTCAAATATGTACTTCTAAGCTTGAAGATAAGTGTTGTTGATCAAGAATTGTTGTTTTGAAACTCAGGAATTTGACAAACTACTCTCCTGGATGGCCTAGTTGTCAGCAGCAAATGATAACATGAAGATGCTAATTTCAGGTTATGTTTAAATGTTATTTTGGGGAAATGTAGCATATTGATTTTGTGAGAAGTATAACCACTGAATCCGTCCATTTTGTAAGTGCGCATATTGAGGACATATCACCTATGTTCAAAGTCAGGATATGGTCAGTCAATGCGTTCACTTTGATGACATTCTTGTTTTGCAACTTGGTTGTATTTAACAATTTTTAAATGCTTTGGTCAGTACAGTACTTATTGAGCCTAAAGACAGGCAGCTCTTCTGTCAATTACCAATGTGAAATAGTTTCAGTTTTTCATTATATACTGATCAGAAATATAAACCCAACATGCAACAATTTCAAATATTTTACTGATACAGTTCATATAAGGAGATCAGTCAATTTAAATAAATTCATTAGGCCCTAATCTATAGATTTCACATGACTGGGAATACAGACATGCATCTGTTGGTCAAAGATACCTTACAAAAAATGGGCCTCACAATGGGCCTCAGGATCTCGTCACGGTATCTCTGTGCATTCAAATTGCCATCGATAAAATGCAATTGTGTTTGTTGTCTGTAGCTTATGCCTGCCCATACCGTAACCCCACCGCCACCATGGGGCACTCTGTTCACAACATTGACATCAGCAAACTGCTCGCCCACAGGATGCCATATGGTCGTGAGGCCGGTTGGACGTACTGCCAAATTCTCTAAAACGACGTTGGAGGCAGCTTATGGTAGAGAAAGGAACATTCAATTCTCTGGCAACAGCTCTGGTGGACATTCCTGCAGTCAGCATGCCAATTGCATTGAGATATCTGTGGCGTTGTGTGATAACTGCACATTTTAAAGTGGCCTTTTATTGTCCCCAGCACAAGGTGCACCTGTGTAATGATCATGCTGTTTAATCAGCTTCTTGATATGCCACACCTCTCAGGTGGCTGGATTATCTTGGCCAAGGAGAAATGCTCACTAACAGGGATGTAAACAAATTTGTGCACAAAATTTGAGACCAATAACCTTTTTGTACTTATGGAACAGTTCTGGGATCTTTTATTTCAGCTCATGAAACATGGGACCAACACTTTACATGTTGCGTTTATATTTTTGTTCAGTGTACAATCCCTTCAGTATCTTAGCAACCAAAGTGAACTAGCAATGTTGTAAATTACCTTTGTATTACGAGGCATATGTTCATGTATGTATGCGCCGAAGTCCTTGAAGCAAGCTCTGATATGTTATTATTGAGGCGTATTCAGGCTGCACCTCATTGTTCGGAAGAATAATCACAATTTTTGTATTTGGAGAAAGAAAGCTGTGGAACTTTCAAGGTGATTTATGTTGAATGATTTCAGTTTTAATGTGCAGACAGTGTATTATTCCCTTGCTTTTTTTGTGTTTTGACATTTTTAAGCATCTTGCCTTACTCTCATCTCTCAGCAGTGCTAAGCAGCAAAGTGGAAATACTAGAATTACCTTCCGGCTTGAGTGTTTGTGAGATCATTGTCATTGCTGAATAATAAACATTTTACTTTTCAAATGCGGTTGCCTCTATGAATAACCTGTAGTTATGGCTTCTTGTTTCTTGATTGGAATTTAATACACTCTGCAGGGAGAACGGAACACACATTCACATTGGAATGAAAGGGCGTGTCCTTAGCTAGAACAATCACATTGATTGGAACAGAGGCTACTGTATACTTAAGGCATCCAACAATTGCAGCACACCATTTCCTAAGCCCATTCCTCTCAGTGGTACTGTGTTGGGGGAAAAATAAATACCATATCCCTTCTTCCTTGTGATACACAAGTTTGTTTCCCTCTTCATTTCCCTCCCGTGTTTGAGCCGTAGAAGCAGGTCCTCTGTGCATCACAGCTAACTGATTTCCCATCTGTCCCTAAGCCCAGTGGTAGTGACACACCACGCTCCCTCCCTCCGCCCTGCCACGGACAAACAGAGGGGATGAAGGAAGTGTCATCATCCCAGGGTCTCTGGAGATGTGTTAAAGGTCTGAGATCGCTGATCAAACACCTCTCGTCCTCCCGCCTGCCTGCGTCAGTGGGACACAGTCGGTCGGACACAGCTCATCTGTATGCCTGCTCTGGCGCAACGAATGCCAGTAACTGCTCGGCAACCTTAAGTGGGTGTGGAGAAGAGCACGATAGGAAGCAGGGTGATGTGAGCCAAATTGGCCAGCTGTGGCGTCCATTAATGACTTCTTAAACCTGTGAGATGCTGTGTTTATTTTAGTTGATAGCGTTACATTTACGTTGAGCGCTTGAATGTCACAATCTTTACAGTACGCAGATTAATTAAGGTGCAGGTATACCAATTCAAGTGGGACTGGAGGGAGAATGTACACAAAAACACCGATGTGTAAACACACATGCATATACCTACTCCAGTGATTGGGATGTTCATTCCAGGTCCTTGGTATTTGGTAATGTGTTTCACACACTTGTAAACAGATGCTCTAAAAACAGAGCCTTTGCCCGTGCTTGAACGTTGGGTGGCTGTTTGAAAAGAGAGCCAGCTGCTTAGCTCAGGCCAAGGCCAACACAGTGCACATTTTAGAGCCAGACCTGCTTATACAGTAAATAGAGGATAGAATGAAGCTATATACAGGGAGTAGCAGTACCAGATCAGTGTGCAGAGGTATGAGGTATTTGAGGTAGATATATACAGGAAGGCAGGGTAAAGCGACTAGGCATCAGGATAGATAATAATATGAGTAAGAATAAAGAACAGAGTAGCAGCAGCATATGATGAGTGTGAAAGTGTGTGTGTTGTGTCGGTATGCCTGTGTATGTGAATGTGTGTGGGTTTTGTGTGAGTGTGTATATAGTGCGTACACACGTATTTATATAAGGTCCCACAGTTGACAGTGCATGTCAGAGCAAAAACCAAGCCACGAGGTCGAAGGAATTGTCCGTAGAGCTCCGAGACAGGATTGTGTCAAGGCACAGATCTGGGGAAGGCTACCAAACAATTTCTGCAGCATTGAAGGTCCCCAAGAACACAGTGGCCTCCATCATTCTTAAATGGAATAAGTTTGGACCACCAAGACTCTTCCTAGAGCTGGCCGCCCGGCCAAAATGAGCAATTGGGGGAGAAGGGCCTTGGTCAGGGAGGTGACCAAGAACCCAATGGTCACTCTGACAGAGCGCTAGAGTTCCTCTGTGTAGATGGGAGAACCTTCCAGAAGGACATCCATCTCTACAGCACTCCACCAATCAGGCCCTTATGGTAGAGTGGTCAGACGGAAGCTACTACTTAGTAAAGGCACATGACAGCCCGCTTGGAGTATGCCAAAAGGCACCTAAAGACTCTCAGACCATGAGAAACAAGATTTTCTGGTCTGATGAAACCAAGATTGAACTCTTTGGCCTGAATGCCAAGCGTCACGTCTGGATGAAACCTGGCACCATCCCTACGGTGAAGCATGGTGGTGGCAGCATCATGCTGTGGGGATATTTTTCAGCGGCAGGGACTGGGAGACTAGTCAGGATCGAGGCAAAGATGAACGGAGCAAAGTACAGAGAGATCCTTGATGAAAACCTGCTCCAGTGCGCTCAGGACCTCAGTCTGGGGCGAAGGTTCACCTTTCAGCAGGACAACGACCCTAAGCACACAGCCAAGACAACGCAGGAGTGGCTTCGGGACAAGTCTCTGAATGTCCTGGAGTGGCCCAGCCAGAGCCCGGACTTGAACCCGATCTAACATCTCTGGAGGGACCTGAAAATACCTGTGCAGCGACGCTCCCCATCCAACCTGACAGAGCTTGAGAGGATCTGCAGAGAGGAATGGGAGAAACTCCCCAAATACAGGTGTGCCAAGCTTGTAGCGTCCTCAACAAGAAGGCTTGAGGC